CAATCCCTTCTCTTCCATTCTCCTCTCAGGATCTTGGGCATGCATGCACATGCACCCAGTGTAAGTTTTAGGCTGCTAAATCTGGGACTCAAACCATGGTCGACTATGTGGGAGTCCAATGATATAACCATTATGCCATCTGCTGGTTCATGGGTCCAAGATTTGAACAGCTCTACTGGCCATGTGGGGTTCAATTGTCTTAACCTTTGTGTCACCTGCTGGCTCAGATGTCAAGATTTTACATGCTCTACAGCAAATCACTCTGCACCATCCTCTTCCAAAAGTGGACTTCAGCTTGTGCTCTGGGCTCCCTTAGTGGTTCTCCAAGCATGGTCCTTAGACCAGCAATAGCAACATTAGCATCGCTTGGGAACTTATTAGAAATGCTATCTTTGTTTTTCTCATAAGAGTCATATATAACTTGTGTGTTAAATTATATTTTAAAGACAGTGGCAGGGGGGGGGGGATAGCTCATTTTGTAAAGAAACCCCTTACCCAAGTCTTTCAGAAGAGCTAACAGTCAGCTCTTAATATTTCTGGTTGAAATTTCTGTAATAGGGTTGTCTAACAGGAAGTTAGAATTACATAATATCCTGCATATCAACTGTCCCTGGATGTAGTTAGACCATACTGATTGTTATCAAGTGGGGAAGAGGTGGTTCCCTGAAAGAGAAATATCGAAGACATTTATCTCTGTATTTTCCTTTTCCCTTATCTTATGCTAAGATTACTTACAAGTAATCTAGACATGACATAAAATATTCAGGAAGGTGTGCATGGGTTATATGCAAACACTGTGATATTGTATCAAATACTGTGATTTGTAAGAGACTTCAGTATCTATAGATTTTGGTATTCATGGGTGGGTCCAGGAACCAGCCTCCCATGAATATTGAGGGATGACTATATATCAGGTTGTTGGGAAAGTTATGACATTTAAAAAAAATGTTTTTCTATGCAAAAACCTGCCATGACTTGCCCAAAAGCCTAACAGAATATATACACTTAGGTCAATTCAAACACATGTACCTACTCAAATGTGTATCTACACATGCACACGCGTATGTCTATCAGTCACTCTATCTATCATCTATTTATCTAGCAAATGTAGGCACATTAGGATAGAGGGTCTCACCTGCCGCCATTCTACTCAGAAAGGGAATGTCCCACAGGAGGTGTGAGATAGGTAAAATAGACCCACCCTTCCCCTGGCCAATTGATCTCTGTTCCCTGTGTGCCCCTTGGTGTTTCTATTGTGCTGAGTAAAAGTCCAGTGTTGAATTTGCTGTATTTACAATTGTAAAAAGAAACTCTCTCTTTTTCACACACACACACACACACGAATCCATCCCCTCAAAAAAATCCCCCAAGCCCCAAACAACAACAACCACAAAAATGAAATCTCCAAACAAACAGACAAAAGCAACAGAAGCAGAGTGAGGTCTGGGCTTAGATTACATCTCTGGCTTGTTATGAAGTTATCTTGGTCCTCCAGTAATAGGTGAGGGAGGTGTTGTCATGTCACAATCCCTTCCCCATCATTCCTTCATCCCACCTGAATTTTAGACACATATGCACCATTAGACTGACATAGTTCCATCTAATGCCTGGCACACAGGCTGGAGGGGTCTACACTCTGTCCTGGGTTTCTAGGAATTGCTCACCTTGGTCATCCTTGTTGAGGATGAGGCTCTGTAACTACTAGAAGAACAGGGACTGGGGTGAAGAAGTAGTCTATAAAAGTTTGCAGCTGTGGAGACAGCAGGTGGTGTGGTGGTTAAAGTGCTGGATCCCACATGGCTGACTCTGCAGTTTGATTTCTGGACCTAGTAGCTTGAAAAACATGCTCTGTGTGTGTGTGTGTGTGTGTGTGTGTGTGTGTGTCTGTGTGTGCGCCCAAAATCGTGAGAAAAGAATGGAGGAGAAGGGATTCCAGTCTGGTTGTTCCACTGGGGGATGATTTCTCACTTTCCCTGTCTCTCCATCTCTCTCTGGCGAGTGTACGTGCCTTGTGGCAAAAATCTGAAAGGAAAAAAAAAAAACCCAAAACCAAAAAATAGTGTATGGTTGTGAAGTGAGAGGCTCAGGTGGAGACATCATAGTTCCACTGTTTCTTCCCAGAAGGAATGGGCGACAAGGTCACAATATACTTATGTCCACTGGTGTCTGCACTGCTTCATTCTGGTTCCCCAGAGAGGGAAAGGCTTCCTTGCACCTTAATCTTCCTTCCCACTTGCCTTTCTTCCCTCCCAGGTCTACGGCTATGCTGAATTTCAAAGAACCATAGACATATGCTCTGGAAATGTGTCTAGGCAATGGATAATATGTCCACACAGCACAGTTTTCAGGGAAATGCATGGCTGTGTATCTGTTAAAAAATAGCTTTTGCAGGCTTTAGAATGAGAGAGATCTTCAGATTTTCAGTTTGACAGAAAAATCAGTTCACATAATATCGTCATAAAATACTCTGTTTTGCAGTGACAGATGTGTATGAAATCTGTGCATGTTTTTGAATTTTATTAATATTGGCTAGGTATCTATGGATACACTCATTCAATGGCGTATGCACATATACCTACTTATCTAGACTGCATTCTTTAAAGAAATAAAGGTCCAGGGACAAAGAGAAAAAAAAAAGAAAAAAGCCATTTATGTAATTTCTATAGTCACTAGAGAACGCTTGAAGTGGATAATCAGACAAAATGTCATTGCATTAAAAACTAGAGGGGACTAGAAGTATGAGTCATATTGACTAAAGTCATCCATGTTTCATGCCCTTTTATACTATTTATAATTTGTTTCTACTATCTTTCTCACAAATGCTTACAATTTAAAGTTATTACCAATGATTTCTAGCACTTTGGATGTTCCTCAGAACACTGTTACCTGGGTTGGCCCCATGGCCTAATGGTTAACGAAGCCAAATCTCACAAGGCCGACTGCACAGTTTGAATTCTGGTCCCAGCAACTTGAAAAACATGCTGAGGACCCTGGCAGCTTGAAAAACCACTTGTAGCCTAGTTGTTAAGCGAGCCAGGTCCTACATGGCTGATCGTAGTTTGAACCCTGACTCTAGCAGTTTGAGGGACATGCTGGGTACATGTACATATGTGTCTAAAATCCAGGTGGGATGAAGGAATGATGGGGAAGGGATCCTGGCATGACCACACCTCACTGGGGAGTGCTATCTCTCTGTGTTTCTCTGGCAAGCACATGTACCTTCTGGCCAATAAACACACAGAATAAGAAAAAAATAAAAAAACAAAAACATGCTCAGTGTATAGGCATGCATGTTCAAAATCCTGAAGGGATAGAGAAATGGAAAAGGGATTGTAGTATGGCCAAATCCCAGTGGGGGTACTTTCTCCCTCTCGGTCTCTTTCTGGTGAATGCACATACCCACTAGAAAATTCAAAAGAAAGAAATAAATAAGAACAGTGGTTCCCAAATGCTGGGTTTGACTGTGCCAGCTCTCAGATCATTGGAAAAGTCATAACATTATTTTTGTTTTTCAATGCAAAAATGCGTCATGACTTTTCCACTGATCCAACAGAGTGACATCTTTGTTAGTTTATAGAAAAATAAGAAAATGTAAGTGCACTTGCATAAGCTCGAGTTATTAGATATAAAGGATTCTCCTGTCTTTTTTTTGCAGATTTTTCTTATAGGCTATACTAATTAGTTGATCAATAAGATCTCAAAGATATAACCCCCAGGTAGAAAAATTTGCTTTTATTTATTTATTAATTTGCTTTAAAGTTTGTTCTATATAAAGCAAAACCAAAGTAATTCTGAGGAAAAAAAGTGTCAGCCAATAGGAAATTCCAACCAAACCTGTGGGAGAGTCCAGAGTCAGGCTGGGACTCACTTGGCTTGTGTCTGAGTCAGAACTTCTCAATTTCTTATCCAAACTTACACCCTCCACCTCATCCTGGACTCAATAATCTCTGCTGTCCAGGAAGGCAGCTGTGGCTGTTCGCTGCAGAAGTTTAGGATCTGGAAGTCTGGCATTTTAGACAATACTCTGCTTTCTCATAAGCTCCATGATTTCTTGGACAATAGAAAGAAACCCAAGGGGTCCGTTTTGTAGTTGTGTGGACAAACTCAATTGATAAAGCCCACGATGGCATAAAACCCCTGTGGGAGCCATGCGCCCACAGAACACACCTTTCTGATGTCACCCGTATCCTCTCATCATTGGAGGAGTTGAATCGATCATCCTTTTCCCTGAAATATTCCTCTATGCATTGTTCTTCGAAGTCATGTACTTTCTTGAGTTCATCATCAGTTATGAAGAGTTCTGTGGAAAACAAAAAGAGATCCATGAGGCAAAGTGAATGTGATGACACCTCATTTGTGAGCCTAATGGCATCCCTAATATAAACTAATGTCAGGAAAAGAGGATAGATTTTTTTCTTTCTTTCTTTTTCTTTCCTTCCTTCCTTCCTTCCTTCCTTCCTTCCTTCCTTCCTTCCTTCCTTCCTCCTTTCCTTTCCTTTCCTTTCCTTTCCTTTTTCTTTCTTTCTTTCTTTCTTTCTTTCTTTCTTTCTTTCTTTCTTTCTTTCTTTCTTTCTTTCTTTCTTTCTTTCTTTCTCTTTCTTTCTTTTACTGAGTCTCAAATGAAACACAAATCCAATTAAGTAACTTGTATCACTGTTCTGTTTCTCTAAGTTAGATTTACTATGGGTCTCTGAGTTCACATGAGTGTACCTAGTTTACTGCAGGCACTGATTAGAATTACAGAACCTACAAAGTCAAGAAAATAGCCATATCAAAGCAAGGCCAGCTGCCCAGAGCATGGTGTTTTATAAGTACTCAAAAATTTCTGGGCTGGGGTTGTGGCTGACAGATATCGTTGACTGGCTTTACTAAAAGCTCTTTGCAGCCCCACTCTCCAGTTTCCTCTTCCCATACTGAGACTAGAAAGCCAACTATACATAGTTCTAGTCTCCCTTGAAGTTAGAAGCAACCATGAGACTCAGTTGGGACAAGAAATGAAAGAAACCTGCTGGAGGTCAGAATGGTGTATTGGGAAGATGTTTTGCTTTTTTGATAAAATACAGAGATGTGGTTGCTTCTTTCTACTATTTTGTTTTAAACCTTCCTCTCTTTTTCCTGTCTTGAACGTGATTGTGATGCCTGGAGGTGCAGCAGCTATTTTGTGACCATGAAACAAGTAGCATCATAAGAAATAGCTGAGCCTAGCAATAAAACTTTGGGTCTTTGACTTTAGTGAGTCATTGTTGAGCACTGGGGTTTCTATGTTTTCACTTTCTGTTGTGTGAAGACAATAAAGCCTTATTTAGCTGTACTATTGTTAGTCTTTCTGCTACTAGAAGATGATCTTATTCATAACTGATATAGCAGTAGAAAGAGCCTGGTGTAAATTTGAACTTTTAAATGGTTTATAAGAGTTAGGTTGGGAGAGTTGCTTTGGAAAAACCATAATGAGACAAGTCTCTCTTCTAATTCTGCGCTTTCAAGATGCCATAGGGAATGTTTTGGACCGTCAGAAATCTAGTTCACTGAGGTTGCTTTTATGTCTTTTAAGATTTTAGTTTGAATTTGCCAGGGGCATGGAAAATATAAATGTAAAAGAAGGCAGGTGAGAATAAAGAAAATACCAGAAATAAGACTGCTCTCCTCAAATATAGCAGGCTTCCTGAGGTTGAGAAGGAATGAATCAGAGCAGGGTGCTTGAGGTTTGGTCTTGAGATTGCATAGAGCACTAGCTTGGAAGGAGGAGAATGAAGAAAGGCCTTTTTTTTTTTTTTTTTCTTTTTAAGAGGTTTTTGCTATAGGGGTGGTTTGCTGCGCAGACA